GCATGAGAGTCGAATGAGAGCGGGTCATTCATGTTCGATTTTCAGGAAACAAAAAAAACAGGAGATTGTGTCGTTTGAGCGAACAATTGCGTTGTTTGGGAGCGAATTGCATGAGGTGGGGCCGATCTTGGGCTTGCCAGTGATCAACAGTTGATAAACATTATTTTGATCTTTAGCTGTTTTTAGTATGAGACTACATAAACCTGGTTTTAGATTTATTTAAACTTGACTATTATATGCTACATAATCATTCAACTTTGGTAAAATAAGTCTAATAATACACACAAATTTACAAACTAATGCTTCTTTTTTTTCCACATAGATGCATTTTACCATATTTTTTATTATATTATTGTAGAAGTTAAATGAATAAAAGACATGCATATCAATGTAAGTTGATAAGCACCTCATATTTTCTAATCAAAACAAGTGGTTTTCATGCCATACAAAAACAACAATGGTGTGATTGCAACATAGAGGACTATAGAAGATGATTAAAATAAAAATTAAAACAAAAAATAGGGTAATATTAACCTCGTATGAAGAGAGAAATCCATCTCATATATCATTATCTAGATCCACAAATAAACTAATATCATTGACCTTACTGCAGAGTAAAACTAGGCTACTGTATTGCAAGTCCATCTTGTGATTCTCATTACAGTTATTTACCTTTATTGTTCCTTTTTTAATGTCTTTTCACTTGGCCATAGGAGAAGGTCAACAACAACAACAACAATATCAAGCTTTTATCCCACTACGTGGGGTCGACTACATGAATCTTTTTTTCTCCATTGTGTCCTGTTAAGAGTCAAATCTAATAAAGAAATGTTATTTCTATTATTTTCTAACCAATTATTTTTAGGTCTACCTCTACCTTTCTCAACACAGGCCAAAGCTACTATATCTACTCTCCTAATAGTGTCATCGGAAGGTCGACATTTTACATGACCAAACCATCTAAGGCGACTCTCTCTAATCTTATCTGTCATTGAAGCTGCTCCAAACTTTTCACGGATATGCTCATTTCGTTACTTTTGTATCTTATCTCTAAGAGTAAACCCACTCATCCACTTGAGCATCCCCATCTCAGCAACACTTAACTTAATATCAAGTAAAAAAAAAATTCAAAAGGAACATTAAAAGGAAAGAATTAAATGAGATAATTAAAATATGCTTTGAGGTAGGTGACATAATTTATGCCTAGTTTTGGTCCAAAACATATTTCTTCCATGTCTATTAGGTATCCAAGAAATAATTGTTCGCTCAGGGAGAGGAATGGCGGTAGGCGGCGCGAACCACACTTTCTAGGCTTAAGGTTTCATTTTTTCTTGAGGCAGATTGAATGTTAAATTAACCAAATTTCTCCAGATAATTACATCAAGGTTTATTCAGTTTTGGGTTTATACTTCCTATGAGGGCAAGCTCCCATATTTAATTATCCCTCATATCGCGTAGAAGAGAACTCTTGATTAACGATGAATTAATTTTTATATGTGCAAGTGCTTCAATCTTGGTTGTAGGGGATGGAAGTAGATCCGATCAAGATCCCATGGTTTCGTCATCTCGGGAGTACCGTAGATTCAAGTACACCAACACTAACAATCATTGATCGTAGTGCCCAAAGAATCTAATTAGCAGTTATAGGTTGTCCCCTCTCAGGGATCTCGAGTAAACTGAAGAGGTTAAATGTGGGTTTTAGTATTATGGTGGTTTGGTTTAGATTGAGGCTTACGGCTCTGCTTGAGAGTTGTCCAAAAGTTTAGGTTTAGTTTGGGGCTTACAGCTCCTTGGAAGTTGCCTAGTTTATTTAAATGGGTTTTACTGCTTCTATTAGAAGTAGCCCGTATGTTTGGGTAAGTCTTACGGCTTCTACATTAGAAGCAACACGCATGTTTGGGTAAGTCTTACGGCTTCTACATTAGAAGTAGCACGGACATAATATATGTTCTAAGAAGTTTTTCCTAATATCCTGATTAAAGCAGGACTTATTACCTTTATTAGAGGTTGCCTATCCAACTTAGCTTAACGGGGATTTAGCAACATACACTTAGTTTTGTACTTTTTATTGTATCAACACCAATACTAGTGTTTTGTTTACAGCAGTAGTGTCTTTATGTTAGCACTTGGTTTCTTATATTGTACACTGTAGTTTTGCCTCTAGCAATAGTGTTTGACTCACAGTACTAGCTCTTCTTACTTGTTCTGCTTCATTACTAGTTTTGCCTATAATTTTAGTTTTTTTTTTTACCACCATGTTTTCCCTTTTCAGTACTAGTCTTGTTTCAGAACTAGTTTTGTTTACCACCTAGCATTAACTTTTGTTCACTTGTTTGCATGTGTTCAAGATTTGCACAGGAGGAAGTTTACGAGGAGCTAGAGATTGTTAGGAGCTGAAGATGAGTTTGGAGAGTTTGGTGTTTAGAGTTTTGTATTTTTCTTTGTTTTGTTCGGGTGTTTTAGTGTTTTAGTTTTAGGAGTTTGATTGTAGTTGGTGTGCGTTGTACTTGGGTTTGTTTAGTGCAAACATTGATTTTTATTTTTTTAAATTTCCTTATTATTATTTTTATTTTAAAGCATTTTTATTTCATTTAATTATTATTCAATTAGTTAATTAAAGAAATTTTGAATTGGTTCTTTAATTTATGAATTAATTAGAGATATTTAAATTGGTTAATTAATTTGATTAATTAAATTAGGTTCAATTTATCAATTGAATTAAATTTTAAATTTATTATAAATTAGATTTTATTTCTTTTTAAATGAATTATTAAATTTAAGAATTTTAATTTAATTAGTTTCATTTTAATAACTTATTTAATTAGAAATTTATCTTGGTTGTTCAATTAAAATTTTTATTTTTTAGATTTATTAATAATTTATTTTAATTAATTTGAAATTTTAATTAATTAAAATTTTAAATTTATTAATTAATTTTATTTAAATCAGTTAATCAATAAATTTTAATTTTAATTTTATCGTTAAATTAATCAAATAAAACATGCTCCTCAAATTTAAAAAAAAATTCAACAGTCTCTCGAGACAATTTCGGCAACCTCCCGGCATCCCCTCCCCACGAGGGGAGGTTAGGGAGGGCACTTGCCTTTTTAATACGCCCGACCGTATAGGATTCGATGGCCGAGGGCTTTCGGGCGAGAATTGGCCCCGGTATTGGTCTTCTAGCCCTCCAATTAAGTACATGTTAATAAAATTTTGCAATTCGGTGTTCCCTTATAATTTTGGCTGCCTCTCAGCGCTCCCTCCCCGCGAGGGGAGGTTGGGGAGGGGCACTTTCCCTTTCAAGTTTCTCGATCGGATTATCGATGATAGAGAGCTTCGGGGAAAGAATCAACTTCGAAATCGGTCTTTGATCTTCAATTTTGGTGATTGCGGCACTTCATTTCTTCCTTTTCTGCTTCTCTTTTTATATTATTATTATTATTATTATTATTATTATTATTATTATATGTAAATATCCTCCTCTTCCACCCTCTCATCGCTCACTGTTTGAAACGAACAGGCAAGATGCACGGGTTTCAGCGGAATCAAGGTCGTTCACGAGTGACAGGTGAACGTCGAGTTCAATTCGTGTTTATAGATCGGGAGGCACGAGAGGTGTCGTTCGGTCGGGAGGCACTGTAGACGGATGCAGGAGTGGAGTTTGGCCAAAGGCCCTACATGTGGAGTTGGGTATGATATGTCGGTTGAGATCAGGTAGTGCAGAGGTGCAAATGAGATTGAAGCGTGCACATCAGGTATTCGACTGAGGGCTTTGGTTGCGGGGTCATTCGAGAAGGAGAGATCGAGGGCTTCCTTACGTGCGTGAGATCGAATGAGCGAGCGAAAGAAGGCTTCTACCGTGAGGGAGTTTTGTGTCGTGAGTGGGGTGGTTGTGAGATTGTGCGTGAGTCGTATTGGGAGTCGATTGCCAGTTAGAGGTCAACAATAATGGAAAATCATTTTTATAAAAAAAATGAGGCAAACCAAATGTACTGTTTTACATGTGTCCTAAGTAACCAGGTGCCCATTTGAGATACGGCGACAGACACAAAAAAACTTCAGTCCTCTAGAAGTGTGTACGCTTCAGTTTGTTTCACAAGTAAAATCTTAAGAGAGATCCAGCATTATAAATATATAATATGAGATGAACCAAATGAACTTTTTGACATGTACCCTCAAGTAACCAATGTCCAAATGCGATGCAGTGTTTGACACGAAACTCTTAAGCTCTTTAGAAGCGTGTAAGCTTCATGGTGCAAATGTGCAATATCCTGCCTTATAACTTGTACAAACTTTAAATACCGCATTTGACAAATTATTAATCCTTTTGATTTCATTGTGTTTTCCACACAAGTGTTTAAAGAGAGAAGAGCACTTGAGGAGAAATATTCAGAAGAGATGGGGTGCTTTTAGTCTGAGGAGAGAAAATGGCCAGCTAAAAACAAAACATAATGAAATAAAACAGTATGGTGGGCGCGTAAAGATATTATAAGTTGTTGTCAGAGTCTTGGGATCAAATTTCGCATGTATCAAATTTCTGCTTTTGCGTTCAACATTCCTAAGAGAGAATAAAATGGGTTCCAAAATTATGTTAGGAGAACAAATAAGAAAAAAATATACGCAAAACCCAGAAGGAAAATGGTTGATACCATACTAAAGGAATCGATTACATGTTAAAAAATTATAAACATCTAAGATACTTCAAATGAAGGTCAAGAATTCACCGAAGTAAAATATATAGCTCACCTATAACTTGAGAGAAAAATGAGTTTTATCTTAAACAAATTTAATAACTCTAGAAATCATCAGTCGTTTGTGCTATTAGTAAAATCTCAATATGAAATTGTAATAACAACGAAGAAAACTTCTAACTTTGCAGAAGCAATAAATGTTTTATATAGAGAAGCATAGTACATAAAATGAACATTTAAGAAAATAAAATAACATCTTCCATCATAAATCTAATATAAAATAAAAAATAAGAAATGAGATGAACATACCGAGCCATACCAAAGAGCATGATACACAGTTCCACAAGAACCTGCTCAACCAAACAAAAGGAGAGAGAAAAGAGGCTGTAAAAGAGTCAAATAAGAATCTTGAACATTTGGAAAAATCTATACCCACAATTCAGTTAAAAAGTAGACAAATGCAGTTAGTCATCAATGACATGCTTCAACTCTTGATTAAAGCAATAAAATCATTATAGATTGGGACAATGTCATGTATTAATATGTGTTTATACTAAGTTTTATTTTTTAGTGAGCATAATACATGTTAAAGCGAGTTTTCAAAAAAAAATTCATAAAGTTCTACCAAAAACAGCCATACGGGTTCATATTGATATGTTGAAAGGCTTCTAGTAGACTTAAACCATCATTTTCTAGCTATTTGACTTCAATTTCTCTTTTCCAAAAAAAGATTCACATGTTGCCCGACAACTACGACTTCTAACCTGATCTTAGGCAAGTAATAAATCATCAAACTAATGATGCTATAAGGTCTTTCAACCCTTCTTTCTTTATAACTATATGCATGCATCAAGTAAGTCCGTAGATAGTGTGTAATGCATTCAAGAGAGAGTTCTGCAGGAAAAGGCAAAAATGAAATCATCTGAAAATGGTTTTCCACTCTTCACTCTAGAGATAAAGGTCATATACTGATCAAATAAGAACTGCACTCAACCCGACATGAGGGGCTCTCGGGTATTCTTTTGCCCTTTTCTCCATCTAAAGATAGGATAATTTTACCTGCATTTCATTAGATAACAGTTTTTGTCATTATAACTAAGGCAAATAATGCAACTCCAAAATCAAGTATCATATTAGCGGCTCCCTGGCATAAGCCAAAAAGGTCATTAAAAATATAAAAACAAGGGTAATTAGTAATAAGATGCAACATTAGGTTCTGCTTGATTCATTCTTCTTTCAAGGGCAGCATTAACAAGATGGCAAATTTTCAAATATTAACTATTATATGCAGAGTGTTTGCTTTAGTGTTAACATTAAAAATGTTATTCTGTATAGAGTAATCGATGGTTTATGACTTTCTTCTTTTCCTTTTCTCATTTATTTTGACCTCCAGAATTGAGATAATCTGGATGTAATTTGGACTTGAATTAGAACTATTAATTTTATTCCATCGTAATCATCATCATTAACTTTATCCAACCAACTGGGTATTGGCCTTATGAATGCTCATATTCCATTTGCTTAGATTGAGTGTTGCATGGGATGTCAAACCTAGTATCTGCAAATCATTTTGAATAACTCTAATCCTTGTTACATTAATTCTAAGTTTCTAACCCTTCCCCTATAAAATTCACCGATACTAATTTTATCTATTCATCCAATCAATGCTGTTGACGAATATTTCGCACCGACTCGACCCCGATCGAGCCCGACTAGGCTTGATCGCGCTCGATCAACTCGATCGATCGACGTCGAGACAAACTCGACTCAAATTAGACTCCAATTTAATTAAATTAAATCAATTTAATTAAATTAAAATTAAATCAAATCAATTAAAACCCAATCGAACCTCGTCGAGCGTCGTCGAACCCAATTCGACGCTAATCGGCATCAATCGGAGTTCAATTTCGCAAAATTGACTCAATCGAACAAACTCGGACCCAAATAAATCACCTAAATCTATTTAGAATTACTTTATCTTCAATAAATATCACCAAGTAATTCCTTAATTTACCTTTTCTAGTTTCATAACGCATTCATCTTAATATCAATTTTTTTCCATTATCTCAATTTCGAATATAGCATCAAACCTAATGCTTTTCTTTAATAGTAATAAAATATTGCAAAACACTGCATCAAAAAATAATATTGATAAATGATAATTTATCAGTTAATTCTCTTGATCGAGCGCGAATCTCAAAACAAAATAAAGTTGGAAACTTCAAAAATTAAATTCGGGATCACATGAACTCTGATTTCAGCAAACTTACAGTCGAACTGATCGTCTTGGAAATACAAACCCAACGACACCAAATTCAACTCAATCCGAGCCCAAATGGGTCCAAATCAAGGACCCGAAGCGCTGTTGGAAAGTTCGTACCACAATTTGTGTTACCAAACGGTCTCCGAACTTGACGAGCTTATAGTCGAATCAAGCGGCTCGACGAGAAGAATCCAACGAGCCCAAGATCAACGAATTCCGACATCATTAAGACCTTGAAATATCTGATGAACGGTCCACGATCAAGGGATTCAATATCAACCGTCCATTCAAACCACTCCCGATTCGCCCCTGATCTCTCACATATTTACAGGCCATGTCACTCCATAAATCTATAAATAGACCCCTCATTTCTCTTGTGAGGGGGCCCAAGCAAGGAGAAGAAGAAGAGAAGGATAGGAGGGAAGAAACTCCTCGACCACCGCCGTCGGAATTCTGCCCGACGCCAGAATTTTGCCCGACGCCAGAGTTCTGCCCAACGTTCAAGCAGTGCCAGAATTCTGCCCAACGTTTAAGTGACACTGGAGTTTCACTCAAACTCCAAGTAACGCCGGAATTCAGCCCGACCTCCAAGTGACGCCGGAATTCCGCCTGACCTCCAAGTGACGCCGGAGTTATGTCCGATTTCCAAGTGACTCCGGAGTTTTGCCCGAATACCATCTAACGCCGGAGTTCTCCCCGGCCGCCAACTGACGTCGGACATCTACCCGACGCCGGAACTCTGCTCATCGTCAAGTTTCTACTCGACGTTAGACTTCTACTTATTGACAGACTTTCACCGGACATCTATCCAATGCTAGATTTATGTTTGTTGATGGACTTCTACCTGAGGCCGTCTTTCTGAACTCTGTCGTCAGACAACTGTCCTTCTGACTAACGTCGTCAGCCGGTTACAGTCCTTCTGGCCTCCATCGCCCGCCGACAACGGTCCTTCTGACTAACGTCGCCCGCCGACTACAATCATTCCGGCCTCAATCGCCCACCAACAATGGTCCTTCCAACTTACGTCCCCAGCCGACAACAGTCCTTCCGACCTCTGTCGCCCGTCAACTACGATCTTTCCGACTTACGTCGTCTACCGACTACAGTCTTTAAGACCAAAAAAATACATCAACAATGATGCTATGTATTCTCACCATGTAATGTACTCTATAAGATGTACATCAAGCTAAGGCCTTCCCCCGAGGAAGGACCTCACTTGTAATCAACTACAATACTAGTGGATTCATTTATATTGGGCCAGGCCCCGTGGTTTTTCCCCCTTTTCAAGGGTTTTCCACGTAAAAACATTGGTAGCTCTAATGGATAACACACCCTATCTTTTTATCTGATTGCGTGCCGGATTTTCGTACAATGCTAAGACGTTAAACTTTATATTTCTCTACCGCCGCGAATACTCCTTGACGCAACAATAAATAAATTACTTTTTAATATCTACTCTTTTACAATCTCAACAAAAAACTCACATGTTGAAATGTATAAAATTAAAACTCAGCCAACTTGCAATGATGCAATTAATAATGAAAGTGGTAACTAAATAAAACCTATTTCTAGCACACAAGACACTGCCAATCAAAATTAAATTAGAGGAGAAATATGCCATCACACTTGAGCAGACTTAGCAAGACCGAGCTTTTTACCATTCCCCTTTTAAAAATATTAGTTAAACAAAAAGCTTCATAAAAAAAAAAAAAAAAACCAATTGCTTCTGTAATGAAATAAGTGATTACCTTGACCTATTTGTTCTCCGATTGTCAGGTCTTCCCATAAAATCTCATAATCTAAGCAGTCTGTCTCCAAATCCAACTTTTGTTGGACACTACTGCTTGTACTTCCACTGCTGCTAAGACTACTTGTACTATTAGCATTTAAAGGCGACCAGGATCCTGAAGCCTCATTATTTCCAAGTCGGTTGTTTTCTTCAGGCTTACCACCACACTCGGAGGATTTTGCATGACCCGTGTCACCTTCTTGATCACCGTGCAACCATGGCCAAGAGAATCTATTCTTAATATCATTGCCATCATTCTCAGAACTTTTCCAGGGCCATGATATCCCCTTCTTAACAATCCATGCCTCAGCTTTCGAGCTTATGATCTTGTGAATCCCAGCTTTTCCTTCTGACTCCTCATTGCTATCCTTGGATGTTTTACTGGGAGACTTATCATCCATGACCCCAGAGGAAGATGCTCCAAATGGAGAAGGTGCTACATCTCCTCTTGGTGTGCTTGCGCCACTAGACATGGCATCCTCCCTGTGGTCTGAATGTATTGCATCATGATCTGATTGTTGGCTATCTCCACTTCCACCATCCCGATCAGTGCTGCTTTCATTGGCCCTTATCCGAGAACGAACTTTGTTGGTCACCTTGGTGGCCTGTACATTTGTAATGCAGAAGCAAAAGTAAGTTGGGCACTACAAAACTCTACAAGTGCATCTTTTCTGGCTAGAAAATAATATTTTGTAAACCAACTCACCAGATTTGATATTTTTGAAGCAATAGCAACTTGAAAAGGTTGTTGAGAATCAGAACCTCCTTTACTCATAAAACTTTTCTTAGGATTGTTGGGATTGTGAGATGGGGGATTGTTAGAACCAGCAGCCATCGGCTTTGAAAAACCAGAGTAAGTCCCTTCCTGAAAGCATCTGGAATCGCTGGAAACGCATATGATCCCAACCAAACTTCCATCATCATCATAAAAGGGCGTGTTAGTGATGATCGCTAAAAACCGCTCTCCCATTTTGTTTTTGACAGGAAACTTTCCAGTCCAGCTCTCCCCCATTGTTATTCTGTGTATTATGCTACTAGCAATGCAGATGTCATTGGATTCAACAAGCAGCTCAATGGCATCCTTACCAAGGGCTTCTGATTCAGAGTAACCATAAAGTCGCTCGGCGGATCGGTTCCTGTATTATAAGTACAAAAACTAAACTTCCAAGAAAACAATGTGATACTGAGATCAATTAGGTTCAGCATAACCACCACACTTTAAGAAACAAAATAAACTCCTCTCGTAGTAAAATCCAGAACCCTTAACCCAACGGTGTACCACAGGGCGCATGCATCCTTAAAATCTAATTAGGGATTCAATAGCAAAAGTTTAAGTTAATCGGAAGAATCGCATATTTATTCACTGTGCAACACATTTCCCGTTAACAAGAAAACAAGCCTTTCCCTTCTAATCAAACCACGTCTATACTTCGCTCAAACCTCCAACTCATCAAACAGACCGACAAAGCTAAACCTAATTCCACTAGCATCCCAAATCGATAAAAACCCAGCACAGAAAAAGAGCTCGTCGCATCAAAAAACAACTCACCAGTAGATAATTCTTCCAACAAGGTCGAATATATGAACCGACTGCCCCATCGACTGCAGTATATTCGGGTACTGCCTATCCGAAAGCCCGATCCCGTCAGCGACTTCGACGCCACCGCTCACCCCAGCCGACGTGCTCGGCTCGCGGCTCTCCCTCTGCAACCGCGACAAGTGCCCCAACGACGACGAAACCCTCCCCCACGCCGGAGCCCCGTGGTCGTATCCGCTGCCCTGCCGCCGCGCCATCGCCGAACCCGTGGGCGATGTACGCTGAGGCGAAACCGACTGAGACCTGCGCCGCTCCCCTCCTCCTCCACCAGGCATCAGCCTCGACATCTCCTGCTTCAGCATCGCCTGCCCTGCTTCCAGCTCCTGGAGCTTCTTCAGAAGCTCCTCGGCTGGGGCTTCCATCACAAATCCAATCCCGATATTTCTTCAGAGATAACTCATCCGTCAGCTCTCATCGGTGACGACAAGAGGGTTTTAGCTCAGATCTCTCTTTCCCTCCCTCTCCCTCTCTTCTTTTCCTTTTACTTCCCTACTTTTGGATGTCTATCTACAGATTCGTGGGCTCTGTAATCGTTATTGGTATGTCTCCTTTTATATCATCAATTTATCGCACCCTATATCCTCAATCTCTCCCATCCAGTTGTTGTTCAGTGCTCGCCTGTGGAACCCCATCATTCCCCACAGGAGAGGGCAGACAGTTTTACAGATAGAAAAGTCTCCCACTTTCACCACATAGATGGCCAGCATTTTTCTCATAGTTAAGCATTAAAACTTCATTATTTTAAGTTATCATTGACATTTGAAAATGATGTGCCCGTTGATGATGTACTTTGTAGTTTATGTGCTTATTTTATGCTAAATATGCTCTTTTTATACTGTTCTCATGCATCATAAATAAATTCTTCTTTATCTCACTAGGAGAAATTATTTAGACTAGAATTAAAATTGAACACATGAATATGCGACGTGGATTTGTTTTGTATATTACTTTTTCTTTATGTCATACATAGTAAAAGCGCAACAAAGGCGTAGCATTTTGTACCTGTTTGTCGAAGCAAAGCAAACGAATTTTTGCTACGCCCGATTGGTCCTGGAGAATGAAAATGCCGAATATTTGGAGAAACAGCATCCGAAGAACCAAACGAGAAGAGAAATAGTGAAATGTGAAAAAGCCTCATTTTAACGTCTTTTCACCTTTTGAACCACATGCATTCAACTTTTTAGTGTCCATCGGACTGATAAGACAAAAAAAAAAGTAATATACAAAAAAAGCATGTGGCATATCCACGTGCCCATTTTTAATAGGAGTCCGGACGTAGCGGTACATCCAGTCTTCGTACCAAATAATTCCTCATAAGGATAGGCTATATTACTCGTTTTTCTTCGTTATGTACTATTAACTGTCAAATTCTTCTAAATAAGATAAAAATATTATTTCTAATATTTTCTAACTCAATTATTTTAGGTCTACGTTCGGTCAAAGAATTGTTACTCAATTTTTGCTTAGTATTTGATCGGTATTGTTGTATATTGTTTGATAATAACGAGGAATATCACTATGGGAAGACCAATACCGAGTAATACCGAGCAATACTGAGTATTACCAAAAAATACCGAGTTTTTCTAGAAAAAATTCTGTATTTTTTTTGTATTACTCGGTATTACTCTGTATTTTGTCTTCACATAATGTTATTTCTCGTTATTATTGGTATTGCTCGGTATTTCTCGTTTTGTGCCTGTGATCTTAGTGTCAGCTGAACGTAGCTCTACGTACGTTCACCAGACCAAATAAAAGTTCCATTTTCACGTCTTTTGAACCTCATGCATTCATTTTTTTAGTGTCGATCGGGCTGACAATACAAAAAAAAAATGCAAGTGGCATATCCACGTGTCCTTTTTTAATAGGAGTCCGGGCGTAGCGCTACATCCAGTCTCCGTACCGAATAATTCCTCATAGGATAAGCTATATTACTCATTTTTCTTCGTTGTGTACTATTAAATGTCAAATTCTTTTAAATAAGATAAAAATATTATTTCTAATATTTTCTAACTCAATTTTTTTAGGTCTATCTCTATCTTTGTTAACATGGTCAAATATAATACATATATTCTTCTAATCAAGTCATCAAAAGACCTATATTTCTTTCCGCATGTGATAATAAAAATGAAAAATATTAGTTATGATTTTGGTGAATTTTGATATTTGAGTAAAAACTTTAAAAATAAAAGTGAGAGATTGTTAGGTGATATTTTTTGTAAATATTAATAAAAACAATGTACATCAATAATGATTTGGAGGTTATTCATTTTTTTAATGAGATTAATATACCATTTTGATATCGTATGTTACACTAATCTTAGCACAAAATGAACGGTCTCCAATATTCAAGATATCCTATCATTTTTTAATAATAAAAATTTGAGTATTATGTATGTAAAAAATAATAATAAAATTTACATCAAGATGAGTTTAGAGGCTATCAATCTTTGAATGATGAGTTTGAAATATAAATTTGATATTTAAAAATTTAGAATTTAAATTTTATAATAATATCATTTTTTATATATTCCTAGCTTAATTATTTAGGTTTTTCTTAGAAATAACAATCAATAAATAAAAAAATTATATAATTTTCTTCAATCATTAAGTTACAATATTAATTCACATCATTATATTGCCTTTTAATACTTAATGTCATTATATTCTTCTTTCACATTTTATTGGAGAAATTATTGTGTGCGGAATCCGCACACAATAATTTCTCGTTCTATTGTCATTTTTTTTTATGATATAATATGTAAAGTTAAATAAAATAATTTAGTTTTTTATTTAAACTTAAAATTAAAAATAATTACATATATGATGTGATATATGAATAGTGCTAAGATAGGGATGTGATAGTTCATAATGAATTAAAATAATTCTTTTTTTAAAAAAAAAATTTTGTTTAATCACAATCATGTCATGTCTCTTGTAGCTTTTAAGTATATTTGGATCCAAATAAAAATATATGACATGAGGCATTCATATAACACACAAGGTGTCAACTCCTCATTTCATGTAACAAATTTAATATTTATGAAGATGTCATATAGACTATTACATTGGGCAAATTATTGCATCCGGTCATCGGACGCGAAGATAGGTTTGTATATTAATAAAATATTATTTTAAATTAAGCGCGTCAAAAGAGCAGGTAAAGCGCTGTCAAAAATGCAGGTAAAGCACAGTTAAATCGCACCTAAAACGCACCTAAAGAGAATCAAAGTGCAGTCAAAAACGCAGGTAACGTGACATGTTTTTATTGAATGTCCGAACCAATTCTGCGCATCCGATGACCGGATGCAATAATTTGCCATTACATTGGGATGTCTAACAGTGATTGTCAGTCAATTTATTACTTTACGTGTCAAAAATAAGTTACTTCATTTCATCAAATTAATGTATGAAAAGTTATAATATATTTTTTGTGAAATAAATATTGATGTTTTGATCGGTAGTTTTATTTTTATTATAATTTTTATTAATAAAAGAAATTAGATAGCTCTGGTTGTTGTTTATCAAAATATAAAAATAATTCTTCTGATTTAGATTTTGGGCCATCACAAAAGCAATCTTTAAAAAAATGATGAAAGTTTAATTTTTTGGCATTATTTCGAATGACTTTATTACTGTTTCTTGAATAAATTTTCTAGTACAAAAATTTTATTTTTTGTATTAGAAAACTACTTTAAGAAGCAGTAAGAAAACTGCCTTGAACGAAACCTAAGTGCAATCCAATAATTTTTTTTTTTTATATCATAGTTATTTCATTATCATAAGTCCTAAATCACGATAGTTATTCATTTTTTATTGTCTTAGGCTTTGTTTGGGATAATTTCCATTCAGCTTTTTAAAGTAAATTTTTAGTACAAATTTTTCTTTTTTATTTTTTTTTATTAAATATATGCTTTATAAAGACGTACGAAAATTATCCCAAACAAAACCTTAATGATTTTATATGTCACATTATGAAATGATATAAGTCTTCACAAAACTCAAACAATAACTAACAAGTTAATATAATATGTAGATGATATAAGCACCTCAAGTGGCTAATCACCTACTACAAAAGAAAACTAAAAGGCACTATGGTCGTGAACTTTGAACATCTAACATAAGAAATTAAGAATTATGTAACCAAACCACCAAAAAATTAGAAGAAAGTTTTAATTTCTCGATAAATTAAATTTTTAATCATCGGTTCTTCTATAAAAATCTAAATTTTTTAAGAATTTTATTGAATATATCCATATTTCTTTCTTAGGGCTTATTTAGGATAATTTTTTACTGCTTTCTAAAGCAACTTTTTAATATAAAAATTTACAATTAAATTATTTTAAAAGAAAAAATCTTTAAAAATAGCAAGAAAATAGTCTCAAATGAAGCTTTAATATCTTTGGCTTCGTCCGAGACACAAAAAAAGTTATTCAGCTCAAAAAAATATTCTTCGAGAAAATTGTGTACTAAAAGTCACTTTTAAAAACAGTTGAAAGGTATTCCAAACAAGAGAAATTATTCTGTGCGGAGTCCGGACGGGAAGAACCGTCCGGACTGTAATTATACACACTGTATGCAAATTTGTACACAGTGTGTACATTCACATATCTGAAAGGTTCTTCACGTCCGGACTCTACACATAATAATTTATCTCCAAACAAAAACTTTATTTTCAAAGAAAAAACGATGAGATTTCCTATTAGAAACTTTTATATGTTACAATATGAATATTTATCATGTCAATGTCATAACAAATTTTTATTATATTATAAACCCATTATAAATTAATTTTATCTTACATAATTTCAAACTTTCTAGCGTAGATAGTTGAATTAACAGCATTGATAAACTTAAAGCATAAATTCAACATCTCTAAAGAGAAGACTCTAAATAAGCTATTAATAACTTCTTCTCCACCCGTAACCTCTCTTTGATTTTCACGTACATTGAAAAAAAATCTTAATTTGCTGTCCTTAAAGCTAATTTGAAAACTATTTTGGGGTTTTCTGCAAAACTACCTTCGCTTTAGGTAAGGAAGCAAGTGGGCACGTGGGTTTTGCAAATTTAGTATCTTATGGTTTCTTCTTAGTGCAAGTTGATCTATACTCCTTTTGTTTAATTGGAATGCAAAAATTATTAAAGCATTATAATTTATTTTGCTTAAATATTAATTTTTTTATTCCTTGTTGTAATTTTATAAATTTTAAATAACAATTTATTAGTGTAATAAGTATAATATTTGCAAAAGCGTTGAAATATTTACAGAAATATTTCAATTTTCATAAATGTAACCTTCCGAGAATATTACTATCATTATTTAAAAATTAATTTGTTAGTTTCTCATGGAGATGAGGGTAGGAAATATGTAAATTATATATTCCTTTAGATAAATATATATTTTTTTGTTATTTATGCAAAAAGTTAATTTATCTACTGAAAAAAATTTCAATCAAATAAATGGATGACAATTAATTTTCCATTGAAATTATTTTCTTTTTTTAATTTGCTTTATTTTAATTTCTTAAATTAAATAGCCTTTTAAGAAAAATAATTCCATATAATACCATTAAATTTAAGGGAGATTAAAGTAATGATCATAATTTTTTTATATATTTATATATTTAATATCAAATTTTTTATATTACAAATGTAAAAT